GTCGACCACCCACACCTACGCACGTCGCTCGAGACGTCCTCACTGGTCCTCACTGGCCCTCACTGGTTTGATTGTTAGTGCTGTTTGGGGTGCTTGTTTTTGTTAGCAATGCTAGTCGTCCCTGGCCAGCCTGCTGAGCGCATCAAGTTCTTCAGAGCAAATTATGTGAAGCAACGCTTGCCTGCTGGTATCGTCAATCGGCTGCTCAGCGGGCTGGGGCCGAGGCTCACTCTCAGCAGGCTGGGGCCGAGGCTCATCCTCGAGATCTGCAAGCTCGGGCTGAGGCTCAATCTCCATGCCGTCTGCGGGCCTGGGCAGCTCGTTGATCGCGTCGACTTCGATCACCGAGTCCGACTCCTCATCCGAGTCTGAGGCGACGTAGTCTCCATCCATCCATGGGTACGGGCCCATGGGCATGCAGCCGTGGTAAAGAGGCATCGGTACGTCATAATCAGGGTAACTTTCTATGCACGTCCACCATCGGAGCTTAGTTCGCATGTCTAAAATCATTGAGCGACGGCCATGAATCATGCACGCACTCATACTCGCCGCCATGACTTGGGAAGGTAATACCCGCAAGTAGTTGAACTCAGGCATGCTGTTTGACACCTTCGAACCACATCGCAAGCATTCGTAGTCCACTCCTCCCATCCATGCCATGCGTCGGTCGTATTCTATCTCCATGAAGGTGGGTTCTTCGACGCCGTCGCCTGTGGCAAGCAACCTAGGGCAACACAGCGGCACAATCCATTCAGCAGGAGATGCAGGCGGCGGCGGAGGAGGTACCATTTCTTGATCAGCCACGTGGTCAACGAAATCTTGAAACGTTTTCCCTGCGATCCTCAACTTAGCATCTAGAGCAACGTCGTCACGCCAAGGTTCTCTGCAAAGGGCGCATGGTAATCCAGGACATGGTAAAGGTGGCCGATGTAAGTCTGGCCATGTTGAATGCACCCAAGATCCGAAACAGTTCATGTGCACTTTGTGGCCGCACGCCCATCCAACTTCATCGGAGTGTGGTCCGTTGACGGTGTCGCTGCACAGACAACAAATCTCGGGGCTGGACATGCGGCCCGCGCCAAGGAAAACCCTTGGCCAGAACCAAAATTGCTGTGGAAGTGTCAGAGCATTTCCGCATCGACCCCTGGTTTTGTTCATGTGTCGTTTGTTTTGTTTGTATGTGTTTACCGTTACGTTTTGGGGGCAATTGCACACATGTTGGAGGATGGAAGGGGTGAGGTGGGGGGCCACCCCATGAGATGAGCGAGAAAGGCCACGGAGCCAGGAGAAAGAGGAGGAGGGGGGTGAGGATAACGACGACATATCATAGCACGACACATCATAGCACGACATATCATAGCACGACATATTATAGCACGATGTCTCGCCACCAGCTTATCAGATGATTACGCCCCATGCAAATAGCCGCCCACCCCATCTTGGGGGCACAAGGTGCGTGGCCCCCATGCATGCAAATAAGTAGCCGCCCACCCCATCTTGGGGGCACAAGGTGCGTGGCCCCCATGCAAATAGCCGCCCACCCCATGGGGGCACAAGGTGCGTGGCCCCCATGCAAATAGCCGCCCACCCCATCTTGGGGGCACAAGGTGCGTGGCCCCCATGCAAATAGCCGCCCACCCCGTCTTGGGGGCACAAGGTGCGTGGCATCTAACCGAGCTCACCGACCAGACCTCATGCAACTTAAAATATCAGTTGTTTTTTATTTGATGTGTTTAAGTATCTGATCTAGCCTCTGTGAAACCAACACTTTCTTCATACATATATACATATAATTATACGTGTACGTATGTATGCATCAAAATAGTGGATCCACTATTTTGCAAAACTTGTTTTTCAAAATAGTAGTTAGGGCCGATTTCCTAAAAAAATAGTAGATCAACTAAAAAAACCGGGGATCGGAAGGCCAGGGGAGGGGGAGGAGTTAGCACCACCACCGTCACCACCAGGGGGGGAAGGACGAGAGGAGATCCCCGCCGCGGGGGGGGCGCCAGAGTCGAGGGTCCTGGCCCCCTTGACCTCGGGAGGCGCGCTCCCTGCCCGGGCGGCCCTGATACAGGCCGGCACGTCGTCGGGCTGGGAGATCCTCGCTCGGGGCTCGGCTGCTCCGGGAGCATGCCTGTCCCGGTCCGGAGGAAGACTCGGAGGAAGGGGAGCATCGAGGATCTGTCTCGGGTCCTCGGGAGGAGGCCCGGGAGGAGAGGAGGAGGAAGGAGGAGAAAGACCAGGGGGAGGGGAAAGAGACGGAGAGAGAGAGCTCCTGGGCTCGACCGAACCTCCTCTTGTGTCAGCCCTCTCGGCCTCTGCCTGAGAGCGAGCAGGACTTGGAGGAGCGTTGACTGACCGATCGGCCTCTGAAGGCGGCCCCTCTGAAATCGACGGCAGGCCCGTCCGCTCTGATCCCGGCTGCGCCACGACCGATCCGGCACGAGATTGGTCTCCCCGGGACGGCCTTCGGGGAAAACCGAGGGGTCCCGTGACCGTAGGGGCCTGGGGTCGGGACTCCGGCTCGGGATCGTCTCTCGGAGCGGGTCCTGGTCCTGGAACTTGGGGCCCGGCATCGAGGTCGGCTTGGGCCGCCTCGTCCCAGGCGCTGTCGGGCGGAGCCCCTTCCCGTTGGACGTCCACCGCCGTCACACGACGAGCCTGGACAGCCTGCAGGAGATCCTGCCAGCGCGGATCCTCGGCCAGATGAAGGCCGCACTCCTCTTCTGGACTGGCCAGTCGGACCTGCTCGGCCGAGCACTTCCAGAGCCTGGCCCGGACAGCCACCCAAACCGTGCCTCCCTCGGCCAGAACCACGACCCCGGGACCCGTCCAGCCCGCCCGGCGCCGTCCGAGGGCGTCGGCGCGAGACGACATTCGGGTGAAGTGACGCCAGACAAACACCCATTGACCTGGGGTGAACCTACGGTTCCCTGGAGTCCTGGCCCGACTGGCTCGTGAGATGTTGTCTCGAGCGGTCGCCTCCATCGCCATTCTCTGGGCGGCTGCCCGGATGGCGTGGGCCCGGGCAAACTCAGCCCCGGCTTCGTCTTGTTCCGAGGATGGGCTGGTGACATTTTGCCACCCTGGCAGCGCCTTGTGGTCGTCAGAGAGCAGATCGAGGGTTTTCTCCAAACACGAGTTGGAGAGGAGAGAAGCCCCCGCGATGCCAGAACCGATTCTTATGGGCGACCAACTCGAAGATCAAGTCGTCCAGCTCCTGAAGGCTAGCTGGAAGGGCAGCCCCGGTTTCTAACTCGGCCCGGACCCGCTCCTTGACCCAGCCCCCGTGGCGCTCCACCCTGCCGTTTTGCCACGGGGAGTCGGCGTCGCAAACATGGTGACAAACTCCCCATTGTTCCAGGCCCCGGGCAAACCTGGCTCCAAACTCGGAGCCCCCATCAGAAATCAAAAGGTGAGGGGCCCCCAAGGGCCTGACCCAGGACCGCAGGAACTCGGACCACACGGCAGCTGCAGTCGCACTCCCTACTCTCGAGACTACCTGAAGGTTGGAACCATGATCAACTATGTTCAAGTACGGGTACGTGGTTCCCTGAAACTCCAGATAGAAGAGGTCCACTCCGACGATGTGATTAAATCGAAACGTTCTAGGAAGCGCCACTTTCCGATGGGCTCCCGATCGAGATCTCTCGGCACAGTCGGAGCACGCAAACTCACGGCGCACCCAGTTGATGAGTCGTTGCTTCGCTCCCCCGGCCCGGAGCAGTCGGACAAACTTGCGATTGTCGGGATGTCCCATGTTGCAATGAAGCTTGTAAATCTGCCGCTTCTCGTCCTCGGAGGGCCCCGGGTCGGGTGGTTCACTCCCAGGACCGTCCGGCTTGGCCCCCTTGGAGTGCCTTGTCTCTGGCTCGTCGTCACTTTCGCCAGAGGCGTCGGGGTCCCCGGCTTCCTCTCTAACTTCCCCGGCTTCCGCGGCACCAACATCGTCACCTTCCGCCAGCTCCGCCCAGGTAGCCTGTCGGGTACTGGGAAGCCCCGGACCAATGCTCAGAGACGGCCCGGGCCACGGTTCTGACGAAGGCGGGTGGATACCGGCCCGCTCGAGTGGTCACTGAACCTCCCTCGAGCACCGCGTGCTCGTGACCCCCCATGCACAGATGTCCGTCCAACAGGCGAGGGGTGTGTGGGTGGTTCGACAGAATGCCGGTCGGCTTCTTGTTAAGTCCTCGGGCGTTTACTTGCAAGCCGAACTGGCGCATATCAACTCTAATCCGCTGCACCCCCGGGAGTCCCCAGACACACTTCAGCACGAAAGTCCCTCATGATGAGGCGTAGAGGGGGTGTTCGAACGCGAAGTAGCGTCCGTGACGTACCTGATATGACGCGATCTCCATGCAGAGTATCAGATCCCGAAGCCCCTCGGACATTAGTCGATCCCATCCGATCACGATTGATTCGATTTATGGCCGAGAACGCACGACATTCGGAACACAACCATATCATCTCCGGGCGATCGGATCGGATGGCTCTCCACAGCTGCTCCACGTCCTTCTTACTTGAGGAGTCCCATCCTACCTTGCGGTCCCACGAGGACCTCACTCCTAAAGGGGCCCCCAGCTTCTCGACCACTGGGGCCATGCGAGGAGGAGAGAAGACCTCCATAAACGCCACCCTGGACCTGAAGCTGCGACTCGACGTGACAAAGGAGCCTTCCCCGAGACACCCGGTCGCCTTGGCAGCTGCCTCGCCGAGAGCTTTCCTAACTCGAGAGCCGCAGGCGACCTCATGGTCGTCATTAGTCAGATCCCCATCGAGCCACTCGAGGCCCACGAGACCTTCTTTGGAGGAGGAGGTTGGAGAGGACAGATGACATGTTCGGACGCTCTCACGAGCGCCGGCGTCAGAAGCAGTGCACGCGCAGCCGGAAAAGGCCTGAGCAAATCCCTGCGTTACAGCTCTGGTGCCTCGCCCTGAGCCGCAGAGAGTTGCTGGCAACTCTGGAGTCGTCCTCGCACCTGGAGGCGCCTCTGCACCTAGATCTCGGTGCTCCCGGCCTCGTCGACCACCTCCCAGGGCACCTCGACCTCCTGCCCGCTCGCTGGCTGCTGCACCTCGGTCGCAGAGGTGGTCGTCGCGGGGTGGTCGGCCTCGGCTCCCGACGACGTAGCACCCGCCTGTGAGCCCGAAGCCTCCGCCTGGCTGCTCGCCGCCTGGTTGTTGGCCATGTGCACCAGGCCCATCACCGCTGTGCCGATCTCGACGACCATGTGGGTGAGCTGCGCCACTGCCTGCTCCAAGTTCGAGACCGAGATCGACATCGCACTCATGTGATTCGAGATCTCGTCGATCACGTCGCCCATCGGCTCCAAGCCCTCGAGGATGCGGCGAATGCGCACCACTCCCTGGAAGATCTGCTGCATCCCTTCCTCGACTTGGCTGGGGTTCTGGAGCTGATGACGCGAGTACTCCCCGATCTGCTCCACGATCTCGCGAACTCGCCCGAGCTGCTGCATGCCCTCTGGGATCTGGTGCAGGTGCCACTGCAGGGTGTTGAGGTAGCCGCTCAGGTCGTTCACCGTCTGAAGCGCCGCCGTCCCCGCCTGGAAGCCGGGGTTCTGCTCCAGGGCCCGCACCGCCCGGTCCGCCGAGTCTGCTGCGCGACGAGCTGCTTGAGCAGCGGACTCTGGTCGCTCTGCGGGCACATCTCCATCCTGCCGGTCGCTTCGCCTCACGAACGTGCCATCGATCTTCTTGCCGCAGAATCGGCACTTCTTGCCGGAGCCATATTGGTTGCCATACCCGATGAGCTCCGAGTGATTGCAGAACGGAGGCGGCTTGGACGGTAGCCGAGCCCTCTCTGGCATGGCCTTTACCTTTGGCGGAGGGAGTCCGTGCACTGGTCCAGTAGGTGCCGCCGCTGCTGCTGGTACTGCCGCAGGCGCTGTAGCTCCTTGACTGTGGTTCGTCATGCCTTGGTCCACGGCCATCTCTGGCGTGGCTCGGTCCTCGTTGTCGCCGTGGCTGGCCCCTGGAGGCACCCCTGGGTTCGGCGAGCCTTGGTCCCCCGAGGCCGGAGGCGGCAACACCCTCGATGACCCCTGTGTCTGAGGATTCTGTCCCACCAGGCCCTGAGAAGCCTGCGGTTGGGACGCCTGCGTCATCGCTGCCTGAGGAGGGGGCCACGCCATCGCTGCCCCTGCCGCTCCCCACAGCACGGGCTGGGGCATTCCGCTCGAGGCGGCTGCTGGGTTCGCACCCGGAGGAGGGTGTAGCGGCGGAGGCGGCGGGTGCATCAACATCTGCTGATACTCGGCCGTCAGTAGCGGTGTCCCGTCCGCCAAGTGGCCCACGATCGCGTTGCTGGGCATGCCCGCCGGTCCGGCGCGGGCAACTGCCTGAGCCCACGTCATCCGCTGAAGAGGAACTTGACTTGGTACGCCTGGCTGCTGAGGCGCTGCTGTCGTCTGCGGCCGACCCGGGGTTGGCACTGGTGTTGCTTCCGCACGGGCCTGCTCCTCCGAGATTCGACGCTGCACCTCCTCGTCCCACCCCTCCGGGACAGTCCAGGCCGGTGGGCCTTGCGGAGGACCCTCCGCCGGGTCCCCGTCCTCGTAGGTGTCGTTGTCGTTGTTGTCGCCTGCGGGCGTCGGAGCACCGACGCCTCGGAACCTGGGAGCTGCTCGGACCTGCTGGACCAGCGCCATGCTCCACAGGAGGCAGAGGATGCCCATCTCTGCTGGGACGATGGGCCTCGATGTTAGCCCGTGGGCTGGGTATGCGTGAAAGCCTGAAAGTCTTTCGCCTGAGACTCGAGCCGAAAAAGGCTACGGAAAGAATGCATACCGGGCCCCACGGGCCCATGATGGCATCGAGAGCTCCGGTCTCCCCGTGGTCTCCGGCGCGATGGACCTTAGCGTGACAAAACGATCCTGAGCCCGTTGCCTGTTCGAGGCGGGCCCGCTGAGCCCAGGGCCCGATGAGTAGGATAAGGAGGGTAAGGACGAGCGATGCGAGCGAGCACGTGAAATTGTAGAGCCCCTGGCGGTTACCGAACTCCGATCTGCTCGACATCCTCCTGGACCTGGTACCTGGCCTAGTCGAACGAAACCTGGACCTGCTTCTGTGGAGGAGGAGGTTGAGGGAGATCATGTAGCTCGCAATCGTTCCGTCAGCCAGCATCTTCGGAGGCTTCCCATTACCAAGTGCGAATGAGCTCTCCGTGAGAAAAGGGTATCGCTTCAGAGCTGAGGCTGGCACGGCCGCAGGCTCCTCGAGCGGTCGGACGATCTCGACCATCCGATGCCCAGAGCCTAAACGCGTCATGTCTACTGTGGTCCGCAAAGCTCCTGACCGCAACTTGTTCCTCGGCAGATCAATGACACTCTCGAGAAACTCAAGCAAATTCACGCTGAGAATGTGCGGCACAGACTCTCCAAGGACGGTGGTATCTATGATGCCGAAAACTCAGCCGAGGCACAGAGGAAAGAGCACAGCACTGATCACCTTGGCAGCGCCTCCTACACCGTGCGCTCCTCGAACGTAGGCACGGTGCTCTGGAGGAATCTCTACGAAACGAAGGCCGTGCACCGCGAGCGCCTCGGACTCGCGGTCGAGAGCCTCCACGCCCACCAGGTCGGTGCCGGCGCCGGGGTCGATGAGACCTTGAGTGGAGGACGCGGCCAAAAACACCGAGTTGCTCGTGATCTCCTCCTCGACCTCACGCCAGGCGGGTGCACTCCAGCCGTCCATCGTGTTGGAAGCCACTCCCTCGAACATGTACGCCGAGGCACTGCGCCGAGGAGGAGGAGGTCTCCTGCCGCCTACGTCCTTCTTGGCTGCCTCCTTCTTGGCTCCGCCGGCATTGGGGCACTCACGTCCCCAGTGCCCCTTCTCGTGACACAGCTTGCACTTGGTGACCTTCATCAGCTGTTCCTGCGTCAAGAAGCGTCTCCGCCCGGGTGGAGGCCTTCGTCCAGCTCCGCCTCCGCGCTCAGGTCGGTCTCGCCTCATCCTGCCTCGGCCCTCCGGCCTGGGAGGAGGCAGTCCTCCTCCGCCTCGGCCCTTGGAGCCGAAGTACTCTCGATCACGGCGTGCAGCTCGCTTCAGATCTTTGTTCTGCTTCCAAGAGCGGTTGTTCGTCAACTCCGCCATGACCAGCTCGACGTCGTCTTCGCCGACGTCCATGTCGTCGATCTCCGCCATCAGCGCCTCGACGTCCTCCTCATCCAGCTCGTCGCTGCCCTCGTCGCCCTCGTCGTAGTAGTCCTCGTCGGCCTCTTCCTCCTGGTGACTGCCACCGTCGTGAAACCGACCTGCTGACCGACCGAGGTGAGTTGAGGAGGAGGGAGGAGACTGAAAACCAGGAAAGGTGTCAGAGCGTGCGCCCGGACCTGAGTCCTCAGGAGATGCCGACGTCGCCAGCATGCTGCCCGGCCCGGCCTTGCCCGGCAGCAGCTTCTCGGTCCCGACCGAGGAGTCGAGCTGGCGCAGCGCCCACTTCACGTTGTGGTACGTGAGGTCGCCGCGCGTCAGCGTCCGGAGGTTCTGGATGCCCTGAGGAGTCAGGTTCGCGCCTTCCTCCAAGAACAGCCCCTTCAGCTTGTCGGACATCCAGAGGTCGTGTCCCTCGGCCTCGGTGTACTCCGCCTCACGGCGGCTCACGAACTGGGTCAGCGTCTCGTTCTTGGGGTCCCGAACGGCGTCGTACAGCGCCTTTCGCCCAGCTCGCCGAAGCTCATCTCCTTCCCGTTCGCCTATCATGAGGTCCATTCTCTTGAGAATGATGTCCAGCCACTTGCTCGATGTTAGATCATCATCTGGTATATCCTCGAACCTGGCCTGCATCGACCACTCGAACAAGCGCATGAATTTTTCTGATCTGCGCCACACGGCTACGTCCGTATTGTCATTCCATCTCTTGATCGAGCGCTTCCACTGCCGATAGTGTGCCCAGCCCGGCCACGCGGGTGGATCCGTGTAGTCTCCGCGGCCACCTGTCCAGCTGCTCGATTCCCACCAGCCATTCCACTTCCGATCCTTCCAGTCGGAGGTGTCGTTCCAGTCCGAGGTGTCCTTCCAGCCCTCGGACTTGTCCTTCTGATCCTTCCAGCCTTCTCGCCAGCCAGTCGTCGTCTCTCCTGCTGCGCTGTCTCTTGGCTGCGAGTCGGCCGGCCGTCCGTGTCCACTGGCCCACGGGTCGTCCTGGTCAACCCATGGGTCTCGCTGCTGCTGCTGACCAAAATGGTCTCTGATGGTCTGCTTGACCATGCTCTGGACGCTCTTCAAGAGGGCGTCCGTGTCTATGCCCGCGCCTGCCCTCGGAGCCGCTGCAGGTGATGTCCCCGGCGCCCCTGCCGGAGATCCTGCAGCCGTCTGCCCCGCTGGTCGCGCCTCAGCGGCGCTGCTGCCCGCTGGGACAGCCTCGGCCCTTCTCGTCGCCATACCTGCGAATGTGTCGTCATCCTCCGCGGGCATTCGCCGTGGATCCTCCACCGCTCAGCGGTGCGAGCGGAACCTGGCCCAAGGCGCGCGAGCGCGGGCGCCCGGCCGTCACGGCCTCGCGCCTTTGCCCATGGCCCCGGGCCCGATCCCGCTCCGCTACCAACTGTGGCAGCAGGAGAGGCAAGCGAAATGTTTTCCCTTGAGCCATAAGTGGAACGGACGTCACACATGATGGTCCTCTGACCATCTGTCCCTGAGTGAAACGCACATGCTAAACCTATGTCACAAAATATGGTCCCCAGCAACAGACCCAGAGGTACTCTCCGGTGGAAAAAATTCACCCGCTGGGTCCGGCAAAAAAAAAATCAACGGGTGAAAAAAATTCACTCGGTGAAACTCACATTTCACCCGGTGATATTCTACTAGTAGGAATTTCATCCGGCGAATCTGGAGATGTTCAGAATTCACCCGGTGAAATCTGACGATGCTATGTATGGCTAAATGTATGTATAATGTATGAAATGCGAATAATACACATTTATATATAAAAATACATTGTATACTACGAGTTCGTGTGTGAAATGTATATGTACAGATATATTCTTCATGTTTACATAGATGTGTAAACACACAAGACATCATATGTATCTACAGAAAGATGTATATGTATAATGTATGTATGTATGTATAGTATAGTATAAGATGACGTCACAGGAAGTCCCAATAGAGACCCTATCTTGAAAACTAGGCCTTGGTGGGGAACCCCGTGCGCCGTCTCTTCGACCCGCCCCCGCTGTCCCCTCGGCCTTAGCCAGTTCTGGCTCGGTTTCCATGCATGGCCTCCCCAGCGCCCAGTCCACCCAAGGACGCCTACGCGCGGAAATTCCGCGATGTGCGGAGACTCCAGGCTGCGCTGCAGCCGTTCGTGGAC